TATGAGCTGTCACATATATTAAGCAGCAGATACCAAGCACTCCCCTATTCATGCATCAAATTTCAACATACAATTGTCAAAAATTGTTGATATTTTCTTGCCACACTGAGGGCAGAAAACACATGAACTATAAGCACAACTCCTCCCTAGTGTTTGTAATATTGTTGCTCTGCTCACCGAAGCCTCAACCAGCACATAACCCAAACAATGATAGCATTGCCCACCAGAATTACACATTTACTTTTTTGAAAATATATTGCATTGTAGATTATAAAACAATGACAAATCGTGTTTGTTGTTGTAAGGAATACTATATAGATGTGTCCCTAGGTCCTTAGGAACTAAATTTACTGGTAATTTAAGTGAGACTTTACTTTTTATTCTAAACAAAATTAACCCTACTTATCTGTATTTTCATCTATACACCATATGGGAGCAAACTCATTTATACTTATAAAAATAAATATATAAGCAATCAGGATACACATTCACCCACACTTCTGCAAATACAAGCACTCATATTTCCAGTTAGAAAAAAAGACTTGACTCTGCTCAAAATGTTAAGGAGCCCCTGGTACAACACAAGGCCATACAGACTTTAGGGAATGCTATCATAGGTATAAATAGGTCATCCCATGCTTCACATTCAACAATTTATATACACATTCATAATTATCTGAGAGAAGAGGCCAATTTCACCCTCTTTTATACTGCAATTAATTCATACCTTACTCTTAATAAACACAACATCTGGCTACTTGCTTATACTGCAACTTTTACTGTTCAAATTGGACGACGCTATAATTTAACTGTGGACTGTGTACATAAGCAAGTGCGTTAATTTTTAACTTAATGTTTAGTTTCCCCAACTTTATTGTGCATGTTCCAATTGCAATTTTTAAATACAAAACCATTTTTTTTACCTTAATAGGATAGTGTTTTACAGTATTTAGGGAACTAAGAATCCAATTATTTCATGAATGGAAAGATTAATCTATCCCAGAATGCATGCTAAATTGCATGATATTCCACACAAAGTATGAATTAACAAAATATTAGTAAAATATAAATCTATGCATAATTTCCTTGAAAAGTTACATGTTAAAAACACTCACATATCTTATATGACGATGTGTGCTTTCGCTTTTATTCACACATCATGGTTTATATCATCAGATGGCCTAATGAGGTTTTTGATTAAAATTTTTAGCCTATTCAACATGACTAATCAACAAAGTTTGTAGGAGCTGCAGTAAAAATGAACTAAAAATGAAAATTACTTCTCACTTCTCAGAACTAATATTCATTGAGTTAGAAATCTTTTTTCATTTAGCCTAACTGGCTTAATTACAATCACAAATACACTATAAATATTATTACACAGAAGTACTGTTCTTACAATAAATCAGTTTTCCTACCAGTAATATATGGGTCATTTAAAAATATACTAATTTAAAATCTTAATCTCTTATTTATATGGACATGTACATATCCATATCCATACTCATAAACCACTGCTAACTACGATAACTTAAAATTTACAAAAACTTTTCTCAACCATTCAGGACAATTTCATTATGCTGGAAACAAATAAATATCTAAATTAGATACAACTAAATTCTACTTAAATGGAGGTTTTCAGTTGAATTCTAAAGCATGTTTACTTTCAAATGAGTTTGTCCAAATTTTACAGGACTTGCTCTCTAATTACTAAATGACATGGTACTGCACTTAACATGGAATGTGACTTGATTTTAACTCTTTATCTTAATATTAATATATCATTTATTGTTTCATCCAATCATAAGAAATACAAAACTGTTTCAAGAGAAACTCAACCCTAATTCCAGGAAGAAAATAATGAAAGGGCTATAGCCAAAAGACAATAAAAAAAACTATCAAATATACTACGACCTCAAATCCATAATTGTTGAACGACTATGTGAAAGGCTTTTTGCTAGCCTAACATGATTTGCAGTATTCTAATACAGAAAATAAAAGGAACAATGGGAAATACAGCACATTTATGTATCAATTAATGTTATTAGCAAGAATATTTTCATCAAGTTTATGTACAGAAAGAATTCTTCCTTTTTTTTCCAGCAGAAATCTGGGCATGCTTATTTGAACATACCTTAGTGACAGCACACTAGGGATGCAATGTGCTGTAACTTCAGTCCCTAGTATCTCCAGCTAGGCCACTGAAAACCTCTACCTAAATCTCACAACTAACATTAATTGACATCTATCAATTGGCTGAGCTACATCAATCAATGAAATGACTCAGTATAAGGCAGCTTTCTAAATTTCGAATACAGAAACTTCAAACAAATGAACTTATTTCTTAATAGAGATGATTATGCTGTCATGTACTATAATATACAATCAATCAGCATGTATTTTAAATTATATGAAGTTTTGTTTTCTTAAATAAACACGTTTATACATATATGTATTTTAATTGTAGTACCCCTAACTTACAAAGAGAAGCAAACAGTAAGGAGTTAAACAAATTAGAATGAAATTTGGGCCTACAATTTGAACACTCAGCAATTACTGATATCTCAAAGAACTCACTGAAATGGAGGAAGATTCCTATAATTCTACAATTGCAATTAAATAATGGATGGCAACATAAAAATATATGCACTCATATACCTAACTAGAACCATGTCGTTTAATTTGTTCTATCTGAAGTTGCATTAATGAAACACTGCTAAATCAAAAAGGCGCCTTACCTCCCAATTAAGATAGTACTATATTTCCAAAGATTTCTATGCTATTATACAAGATACCATCAACTAATACTCCTACTAAAGCTATTTCTGCAGAAAGATAAAACTTGTCTTTCAGAATCTCTGTGCTTTAAAAGAGCCATCTCTATGCTTTAACATTTACAGTCATAACTCAAAATTATTGGATGGAGTATGCAAATGACCAACTTCCTAATTCTGGAGCTGTAGCTTCTACTATTAAAAATACAAATACTTAAATAACAATCATCTCTTTATAATTAAAATAATATGAATTGACACCAAGAACCAATATCCATTGCGCATTGGCCACACCTCCCAGAAACTATTTAAGTGAAAAGTAATTTCTTCTATAGTCATCAAAATTGTACTACATTAAGAAATTCAAAGCCTGAATGTTGTGTATGATTGATTCTTAATGTCTTTGAATGCACAAATATTGTAGTCCACAGTATATATTTAGAAGCACTTTCTTAAGCAAAACCACCTTTGCAGATAGGTTAGTTAGGTAAAATAGCAATTTTTCAAAATCTTATCTGAAGAATATCAAGTACTTACATTCATATAAGTACTATTCATATAAGTACTAACTACACAATCATATAAAAATGTGAATACTAGCTTTAATATTTACAACAATCTTTTGTGACATATTCACCACCATTTACAATCCATGATTGAGCCTGCTTTCTAACCAAACATAAGTACACTGGCTCAAGGTTGACTAAGCCTTCCATCCATCCGACCCAGATTGTTGGGGGCAATATGCTCATTCTGTAAACAGCTTGAGAGGGCTATAGTGAAGCAGCATGTAAGTTTAAGTGCTATTGCTACACTAAAACACCATTAGATTTTTCATCCACAGCCAACTTTCCAAATCCACTAACTCTGATGTGATACACACAGAACCTTTCTACATTAACTTTTTCCAGAACGAATGCAATGGGACTACTCAACTCTTTGTCACTATGAACTTAGCAACTTTAATACAAGTAACTGCCATAATCCACATAACTATTCCAGATCACAAGACCTACTACTACTTCCAAGGAGCATACCGAATATCACCTTCAAGTTTCTGATGCAACAGCTATATGGGCACGACTCATTTCCATTTCATCTCTACCTTTAATGCCGGGCCTAGGCCCACGTCTGCCAGATTCTTGCTTCTGCACGAGAAGAAAGGGAGGGAGAAGCCAGAAATCACAGCCATTTTTCTAAAAAAAAAAAATGGCACCTAATGGGGAAAGGGGCGGGAAGCACAAGATACAGCGACACTAGGCCTCCTGGGAGAATCGGGGTGCATTAGCGAGAAAGGGGGGGACCCCTCTTAACAGGGACCGTCCTCGGCCTCCAAAATACAAGGGATACAAGTCAGATCTAAATCGAAGCCATCCTCCTGGTATCGCCTTTTGTTCCTGCTGACGATTTCTTTGATGATGGCGGTCATGTCTGGGAGCCGGGAGCCGCTCAGGAACAGCGCGGAGAGGCACGGCGGCGGCTGCAGGGCGCAGATGGCTCGAAGCCTCGGCGGGGGAGGCTGCTCCCCGAACAGTCCCCGCCGCCGGTACGACCGACGGCTGCTAACCAAGCGGCTGCCGGGCAAGGGCGGCGCGGGGAGGCCGGCACCGTGGACAGGGCCTGCCCCCGATCGATCCAGCGGCGACTCCCGGGAAGGCCCCGCAGCAGCGGCCCCGACGGAAAGCGGGTGCGAGGAAGAAGGTCCTCCTGCAGGCTCCGCCACTGGCGCTGCTCCCCGCGGCAAGCAAGATCCCGAGAGCAGCGGCGGGGGCGGCGGCGGCGGCGGGGAGGAAGAAACGCGGCCCCGACTCCCTATAGCGCTTCTGCGGCTTTGGGACGAGAAAGAGGAAGCGCCGCCGCCGCCGCCGCCGCCGCCGCCTTCGGGCCGTTCCTTTCCCCCCTCAGTCAGGCAGCGGCGCTCCAGCTGCAGCGGTGACAGCAGTTCCGCGACTGGCAGCCCCCCTCCCCCGGCCCGCTCCGCACCCCGCGCGAACTGGGGGTGCGGGCGGGCGGGCTCCCTCGGATTCAAGGGGAGGCGGCCGGCTCGGGGCTGGGACTCTATGGCTCGACGCGACGGGCCGGCGGGCTCCCCTCGGAGAAAGCGCGGGGAAGACGGCTGGGCCTCAGGTGGCGGCGGCGTTGGTGGTAGCGGCGCGGCGGCCGCGCAGGACCAAGGCCGCCGCCGCCGCCGAACTCAGGTCCTGAGGAGAGCTCGAGGCTGGCGGCAGTCGCCGCGGGTCATGTTGCTCCGTCCGCCGGTGGTTCGGTTATCCGCGATCCGCTGAGGGGTTCGGGGGGCAGCCTCGCCGGTCGGTCGGTCGGTCGCCCGGCTGCCTTGCCAGCGCGCGCTTCACCCGCGCTTAAGCGCTCGCTTCCCGTTGGGGCTGCGGCTCCGAGTCTCCCAGCGCCAACCGCTCGAGGAGCTTCAAACTACCATCATGGCTGCAGCTTCCGAAGCGAGAAGGGAAGCAGGAGAGAGGAGGAGGGAGGGAGGAGAGGGAGCCCAGCACCGAAAGGAGGGGAGAGACAGACAGATAGACAGACGGCCCAGGCGGAGGAGGAGGAGGAGGAGGAGGAGGAGGCGTCCAGCCACTCCACCCTTCCTAGCTCCTTCCGCCGCCGCTGACGAAAAAAGTAGTCCCGCACCGCCACATCACCGCCTCTTCGGCTGCCGCGCCGGCCGATTCGCTGCTTTTGCCGGACGTCTCCCTTCTCTCTTCTGTCCCTCCTTCTTTGCCAAACCCTGCACGGGAAGCGCCCGACTCGTTCTTCGGGGAAAAGGCCAAGGCCCGAATTGGGATTAAAGAGGCGCGGAGGTGGAACGGGGTTTGGGGCGGGGGGAGGGAGGGTTGAGTGGGAAGAAAGGGGAGGAGCGTGCGCACGTTCTGAGTGGCGGAGGGATACGGCAAGCGATTGCCTCATCGACGTGACGGGCTAATTCCCTGTGGGAGTCACGTGACGCGCGCTGGGCGAAAGCGGGGGGGGGGGGGGGGGGGGAAGAGAAGAAATCGCTTCCCTTCCCCCCCCCCTTTTTCCCGTTTTCCGAGCGGCCTTTCGGGCCTTCCTCCGTTCCTTCTCCCGCCTCGCGCTCTCGTCCTCCCAGGCTCTTTTCGTGTGTGAGAAAGAGAGAAAGTTGAAAAGATGACGAGACTGTTCCCCACTCCCCCCCCCGCACGCCGAGATTGAATTTGTGCCCACCGTTGCATCCCTTGGATGGATGTTGCTTCATGAAATTGTAGGCCCTTGTCAAAAGAGTCTGAACTCTTACACCCCCCCCTTTTTTTTTTCTTTTTTACAAATATGGTTGCCGGATAACTAAAAAAAAAAAGCAAAATGTCTGGTCAGCTTTTTAATCTTTTGAGGCGGAGAAAAAAAGCAACGGGATTTTGTAGAAGCCAGCAGGTGCAGCCTTGCAAACGATACCGAGCAAAACGAGTTTGTGTGTAATGTATGTGTAAAACATCCGCAGAGGGTGACCGCAAGCGTCATTCCTGCGGGCGTGCTGGGTGGGGGGGTGTAGAGGCCACTCTTAGAATGGATGACGAGACCTGGGTGGCTGCAAAGCCGCCTCCGAGGGAGCCTTTTTTGAAGGGGGGAGGGGCGGGAGAGAAAGAGAGACACCCCCCCTTAACGAGAAGGTGGGGTTGGGGGCTTCGCTCTCTGCAGCGGCGCCGGATTGCACCGAGCCTGCAAAGTTGCGTTACGGGGGGGGGGGAGCCTCCATCGCTTTTGTGTATGCTCGGTTGCGCTGATGTCACCCGGTGCTCAAGACCCTCCCCGAACCTGCCGTTGGGCAAGCGCCATCCCCTCCAGCTCGGAACTGAAATCTCGGCAGGAACCCGGCTGCGACACGCAAAAGGCGAATGAGAAGCGGGCGCCGCGTTCTTCCACCGCCGCTCGAGCCCTCGAGCCGCGACGCCGAACGGGGGGGAAAACCCCCCCCCCCCCTCTTCTGGATGCTAATCCAGACGTTTGTTATACGTGAGCTTGGCCCCATTGGGTGGCTTTTCTTGCTACAGCTGTTAAGTGAATTGCAGCCGGGTGAAGTGTTACTTCATTGTGAAGTGAAACTGGCTTCTCCCTGTTGACTTTGCTTATAGGAAGGGTCATGAAAGGGGGTCACGTGATTCCCCCCCCATGGACACTGCAACCGCCATAAATGTGAGTCAGTGGCCAAGCGTCTGGATTTTGATCATGTGACCATGGGGGAATGCTGCAATGGTCGTGTGAAAAAATGGTCATAAATCACTTTTTTCAGTGGATGTAACTTTAATCACTAAATGAACTGTTGTAAGTCAAGGGCCACCTATATTTCGCTAGGCCTGGGTACTCAAATAGACTTTCGTTGGCTTTGAGAGCTATCTTCCACGAGCTGGGTTTGACCAACCTGCAGCTGGCTAGTTCGTTATTCTTGGTATCATTCTCCAAAAAGGCATGGCACATAATTTTGAGTTCTTCTGGCTTCCATGATTTGCGTCAGCTTTTTAAGTTGCCAGTATGCAGGGACAGGGCGGCTGAATCATTCACGTAATAGGGAAAAGGGATGGCCCACTTTTCTCCTTTTTCAACAAACGGTAATCAGTTCCGGGTTTGGGTTTTTTTTTTCTTTTCAGTTGATGTAGAATGAAGAGCGACAAAAGAATTCAGTTCCCTTATGCCATAGTCCCCTGATGACAATCTAGTTCTAGCATCAAATGTTGCAAAGCCTCTTTACACGATGTATAATTACTTGGGTGAGTTTCATTTAGCTTCACTTCCTACACCACACTTCTCCCTTTAACTTTAAGGGGTGGGGGGGTGGAGTTTGGAGCAAAGACCATTGAAACCCCAGAGAAAATGTACTGTTTTTCATTTCCCTTTCTAATTGTAACAGATTGAGTTCACACAGCGCTAAGCTGTGGTTTCACTCAACTAAAGTTTAATAAATTGCAGTATCTACATTTAGCATATGCACTATAAGCCACAGTTAGAAACCCCAGGGCAGAAAACTGCTTAAAATATCAATCCCTTTAAGGCAAATCAAGCAAACTTCAGTCTGACATCACGTGACAGAAGCCACACAGACATTGATTACAATTTTGATCTCCACATGGCATCCCAGGGTGGCTGATGCTTGGCAACAGCTCCTAGTACCCATCTGATTTTATTTAACTAAGGAAAGACAGTTCATCCCTTGCAGCTCAGGATTGAATGGTGGAGTCCTTGGTGCTCTCTGAGATTTAGTTATGTACCCCATTTTGGTCCACAGGGTGCTACAGGAGGTGTCCGTCCTGTCTTCTACCCATCCCCCCCCGCCAGCCTGTGCAAAACTACAATGCTGATCCGACCCTCGAAGAAATCCAGTTTGACACCCTTTCTCTAAAATAAAGCACAAACCTCATCCTTTCTAGGTTCAAAAAGCATTCTTAAAAAATAATAAAGGAAAAACTATAGAAAATAAACAATAAAAATGGGAAACCTTGATATAATCATTCTGTTACAATAATTGCTATTACATTTTAAATCTTAAATCACTTTCAGTAGGGCTAACAATCCTGCTGATGAGTTGTTTTTCATTAGTTTTGCCTTATATTTTAGGCCAACATGGTTTAGCAGGGTTTGTAGACTTAGCCAAGTATGACTTATTCAACAAAACAGTTAAAATGTATACAACCTGTCAACCTGTGGACTCCAAAAGAAATTAGCATGAGAAATTTTCCTAAAGAATTGTGAATAAAATTAGTAGAATGAGTCTATTTACTAGATGCTCCAAACAGGTTTTATTTTCAATAGATAATTAGCAGCCTCACCTAGCATTTTTCAAACAGTAAAAACAAATATAAAGAGATTTACTGATGTAATAATAGGCTGCCCACTCTCCACCTCAAGATTAACTGATACTTTGTGGAAGAATTTTCATTGGAATTGTGGGAGGAGGCAATGATTAAGAAGGCTGTGATTATGTAATATGGTGTCAGTCTGGTCAATGAAACACCCACTTTTTCTTTTTTTTTGCAGTCTATCTGATGTGATGAGAGTACATAATATACCAACAATATGCTCTGGCAATGTATACTTATTCTAAACCTAAGGCAACTGGTCTGTATTATTGCATTAAAATCGTAAATCAAGTTAAAGTTGACACAAATACCATAGGCATAAATTGCTTCTGCAACAATATTAGATTTATCTCTTAGGCCGACTTCAAGGGTTTCCAAATAAAAATCTGGAGCTATTTTTAAAAGAAACCCATGATCTTAAGTTTCAGCAAGTTGCATTAAAATATGTATATCAAAAGAGAGACCATGTGAGATAGTGGTTCTGGTATTGGATCTGCCCTCGGGAGATTTAGATTTAAATCCATCCTTCCAGTCCATTGAAATCCAGTGGGTGCCTTTGGTCCATTCACTATCAGCAAAATCTCTCACACAGGAAAGAGGTTAGAAAGAAAAATTGGAGACAATGCTATATTTGCTGCCTTGAGCCCTTGAAGGAAAAGTAAAATATAAATCTTACAGATAGATGTACATCATGTAAAAGGAAAAAGAAATTCAGTTCCTATTGCTATATCCCTGAGTGCATTACGTGAAATTGCTCTATCACCTATATTAATGGACGGAGAAGGCTCATTCTCCCTGCTTTTTAGAAACCGTTTTATGCCCACGTACTTGTTGTTTTTATAAGGCAATTTAGTTGTCTCTAGGGATGGATTGGTATGGTTTCGTTTCCATTGTTTTCCAACATTCTCTTTATCTTCAAAAATTTCTTGTGAGAATTGTGCACTTGCTGGTTTATTGAGCTAATTTGTACCTGCTTTTAATTTAAAATGCTTTTGCATTTTCAAGGTTATTTCTTGTCAAGAAGACTCTAGAGACACATGAACTGTATACCTTGAATTGAGCAAGAGTGGGAGGTATTGAAAAAGGGAGAAAAGTGCTACATTTTGTTATCTAAGGAGGTTTTACCTTAGATATACATACACACTATTTGTTTTTACAAACACTTTAAACTAGAAGGAATAGATAAGGGTATATAGGCTAACAAGCTCTGCTCATATATTTCTGTCCATAAACATTTTCTAAATAGGAAAAATGGTTTAAGATAGCAGAACATTCTTTTCAGCAATACTCCATGTTGGTATTATGAACCAGAGAAGGCAAGTGATACATTAAATGTTATTGATTTTAGCCATAGGAAGCTTGTATTTTCAGTTCTATGCCAAATTTCACCAAACTACTCTCCAGTGATCAGTCCTTATGCTTTCTGATGCTTGTACAACAGGGAAATTTTTTTCCCCCATTTCCTATCAAAATCATGTATGAAGCAAACAAATCTCTCAGGTTTTTTTTACATTTCAAATCAATCTTCCATGAATGCTCATCAGCAGACACAAAGGGAATTGACAGTGTTTAAAAGATGATGACTAGCAAGAAAGTAATATATTCCAGTCTTACGACAAACCACATAGTTTTTTCATTTGCTATTTGAAACATTCCTCAATTCTTTCATCAAAAACCAACTACATTTTTAACATTCTAGATCAAGGGTATCAAACTCACATCGTCATGGCATTGTCACGTGACTTTATCCCCCCTTTGTTAAACTGGGCATGGGCATAGCCAGCGTGTGACACACATCCTGCCTGCAGGCTGCAAGTTTAACAGTCCTGTTCCAGATCCTCTTATTTCAATTTAAATAAAAAATTATCCAGAAACTCAACCTATACTGAATGTTATCTGCAAACAGTGAAGCAAATACACCAGAAGTAGCATAACAATTCTGACAAACAGTGCTGGGGGCAATTAATTTTCCCAGGGGGTCACATAAGAAACTAGGACTTATCAATAGGGCTGTGACGGGTGCGTAGGCACAAATGTATGCACATAAATAAACTGGGGAAAAAATACATCAGTCTCCTTCAAAATAAAAGCAAAGCAGTTGTACATACAGTGCATGCATGACATACTGTGCACTTATTTACATTTGAGTTCTAATTTACAACTGACCTCACACAGGCCAGACAGGGACAATCAAAGCGCCAGATGTAGCCTGAGACCTGCGTCCAGATCTAGTCTAAAAGCTATCAGCCCAGGATTTTTACTTCCACGTTAACTTTTGCAACTTTTTACTATTTATATAGTAAATTCTTTATATTTGCAATGTCCAATGTAAATTTAAAATCCTGTAGAAGTGGAATCTTCTGGTTTTACATGTAAGTTTTATAGTGCAGTTTGCCTCAAATTAGACGAAATGCAGTCCTGTAGGCCTGTTTGATTTGGTAACTGTTCTCTCTTCTTTCCCCTATTATTGTTCAGAATGCAACAAGATAAATCACACAGACCCGCTTTGTCTGATGCATCTTCATGGATAGTACCACTGGTATTTTGTTCACAAAATCTCAAGTACTTATACCTTAGAAACAATGTAGCATCTCAGACACACAATTCTGTGCCATATCAAGTCTGTATTTCCAGCCATCTTTATAAAGATTATTTCCTTGATTTGACATATTTTTCTGTGTTTTTTTTTTTAACAAAGCAACATGCTGCTTTCCAAACGCTTTCAAGGACATTCTGCTAAAAGCAGGGAAATCAAAATGCAGGTGGCCTACTTACAATATTACAGCTTCAGGTGACAGAGGTAGAGAAAGCAAGCACAGCTGAACAGTTAGGAAATATAGCATCTGGAACCATTTTATGCCTCATCTATCAATCTACTTTATGGGACTAGAGAATTAACATTTCAAACCACACATCATTGCTTCATGACCGATAAATCCCCGAATCGTGGTTGTTACTTCACCCCAAAGCATTTTAGATGGACATCTGCAGAGGTCACATTGAACAATCACTTTCCAATGTCTTTAAATTAAAAGTTGTAATAAAATTAATGAAATTAGCAAAAACTGTAAGCGCTACTCCAGTATAAGCATCTATTATCAGACCTCTAAAGTCTTTTAAACACATTTTTCAGTGGCAGCTCAGCTCGATGAGATGATAATGTGAAATATGTAAGATAAATGCAGGAAGAAGGTTAGTTGCCTTTGTTAGAACATTTATATAAATTAAGAACGGTGTTTTTGCTTTGTACATTTGGTGCTTTTCAGTTTTAAAAAAATTTCAATTTTGGAAATTGCGCAAGAATGAGATTTGTACATGTGTATGCTACCACATCCAATTTATTGAGAATTTGGAAGGAAATTATTTCTGCAACTAATGACAACAAAGGACTACAGATAGGCATAAAAAGATAACCTAAATTCCTGATTAAGAGGTAGTAGAAGAATAGAATTCTAAATAAAGAATTAGGTATTATTGAATTAAGTTCAGATCTTGGTGGCAGCATAATCCAATGTTCACTATTTTCCTATATCTGTAGCAATCAGTAGTAAGGTCATTCTTATCATCTAGTCCAGTGGTTCCCAAACTTTTTCAGTCCACCGCCCCCTTGGTGCTACAAACTCATCCTCGGTGGCCCCCCACCCAGGGGTGGGATTCAAATTTCTGTGCGCATGGCCTGATTTGAGGGTGTGGCTTGCTGGTCACGTGACTGGCTGGGCGTGGCTTTGTGGTCACATGACTGGGTTTGGGCATGCGACTAGGTGGGCGTGGTTTGGTGACTGGCCAACCAAATACAAGTGGTCCTCACTTAATGGGCGGTTGTTTAGCAAGCGTTCTAGTTTATGACTGGCCTCCCCAGAGCTACTTGACCTGTTTTTGGAGTTTTGACAGCCATGCACACACATACACACACATTCCCTTCCAACCCTGTTGGAGCAGGTTTTTGGACTAGAATCAGCAAAGCATCTCTGATTAGATTCTAGTAGTGAATAGAATCTAATCAGAGATGCTTTGCTGATTCTTGTTGATTTGTTTTATTTGTTTATTTTATGTTGCTGAATTGCACTGACATGTGTGTCCCTTCTTGTGCACAGCCCAGAAGCTTTTGTTATTCTTTGCAGCAAAAATTACTGACCTTTGGCTTTGCTCTACTTTTCAAACGTGCCGGCACTGCCGCGTTCTAGGTGCCGGCCCCGCAGGTCCACCCCATTGAGCCCACTGCACTGGAGGGACCTGCCCAAGCAAGTCCAAGCAGACCAGTGCACCAAGCCAATGGGGTGAGCCTGAGAGAGAGAAAAGAAAGAGAGAAAGAGAAAAGAGAGAAAGAAAGAGAGAAGGAAGAAAAGAAAGAGAAAACGGAAAGAAAGAAAAAGGGACAAAGAAATGGGATGGAAGGAAGGGACAGAAAGAAAAAGAAATAAAGAAGGAGGGGGGGAGGGAGGAGAAAGATAATGAGATATCTATTCTAGTCCAATCACCTGCTCCAGCAGGGTTAGAAGGGAGAGTGTGTGTGTGTGTGTGTGTGTCTGTGTTCTCCTTGTAATTTACCAGTACATTTTGG